AGGTGATAACCAACACCTTGAAGCGCACCCGGAAGACCACCGGGAGCCAGTGCAGCTCGCGCAGGAGTGGTGTTACATGGGAGCGCCATGTTGCTCCCATCACTACCCGCGCTGCTGCATTCTGGACCAGCTGGAGCCTCCGGGTGCTCTTCAAGGGGAGCCCCATGTAGAGAGTGTTACAGTAGTCAAGGCAAGAGGTGACGAGGGCATGAGTGACTGTGCACAGGGAATCCCGATCAAGAAAGGGCCGCAACTGGCGAATCAGGCGAACCTGATAAAAGGTCCCCCTGGTAACAGCCGTCAGATGTTCCTCCAAAGACAGCTGCCTATCCAGGAGGACTCCCAGATTGCGAGCCCTTTCAGTGGGGGCCAAAGACTCGCCCCCAATAGTCAGTGATGGAGTCAACTGACTATATCGGGATGCTGGGAGCCACAGCCACTCAGTCTTGGAAGGGTTGAGCCTGAGCCTGTTCCTCCCCATCCAGATCCGCACAGCCTCCAGGCACTGGGACATCACTTCAAGGGCATCGTTGGGGTGGCCTGGGGTGGAAATGTACAGCTGGGTGTCATCAGCGTACTGGTGGTATCTCACCCCAAAGCCACGGATGATCTCGCCCAGCGGCTTCACATAAATGTTGAACAGAAGGGGCGAGAGGACCGATCCCTGCGGCACTCCACAAATGAGAGGCCTCGAGGTCGACCTCTGCCCCCCTGCCAACACAAACTGCGACCGGTCGGAGAGAAAGGAGGAGAACCACCATAACACGGTGCCTCCCACCCCCAACTCTTCCAGCCGGTGCAGCATGATACCATGGTCGATGGTATCAAAAGCCGCTGAGAGATCTAATAGGACCAGAACAGAGGAATAACCCCTGTCCCGAGCCCTCCAGAGATCATCAACCAGCGTGACCAATGCCGTTTCGGTGCTGTGCCCAGACCTGAAACCTGACTGGAACGGATCCAGATAGGATGTTTCCTCCAGGAATTGTGGAAACTGTTGCGCGACCACACTCTCAACAACCTTCGCAATGAAGCGAAGGTTGGAGACAGGACGATAGTTAGCCAATATTGCTGGGTCCAGGGACGGCTTCTTGAGGAGAGGCCTCACCACCGCCTCTTTCAGGGCAGCGGGGAAGTGACCCTCACTCAAGGAAGCATTAATAACGCCCTGGAGCCAGCCTCGTGTAACCTCCCGGGAAGCCAGTACCAACCAGGAGGGACACGGGTCCAGTAAACATGTGGCCGCACTAAGTCTCCCCAAAATCCTGTCCACATCATCGGGAGTCACAGCATCAAACTCCTCCCAGATAACATTCTCAAGACTGTTCCTCGTCACCCTGCCCTGATCTACCCAGTCAGAGTCCAAATCCCCCCGGATCTGAGCGATTTTGTCATACAGGTATTGTCCGAAATCCTCCGCCCTGCCTTCTAAGGGATCCTCCCGCACTCCCAGATGGAGCAGGGCGCGGGTCACCCTAAACAGGGCGGCCGGACGATTCCCTGATGACGCAATAGAGGCGGAAAAGTAGTTAGACTTTGCCGTCTTTATCGCCACTAGGTAGGCCTTAATATGCGACCTTACCAGTGTTCGATCAGATTCAGCGAGACTGGCCCTCCAACCGCTCTCCAGGCGTCTTTTCCGGCGCTTCATTTCCCTCAGCTCCTCAGTAAACCAAGGAGCCACCCGGGATCGGCATCGGGTCAGAGGCCGCAAAGGCACAACTCGGTCCAAGGCCCCACCAGCCGCCCGATCCCAGGCGGCTACCAGGTCCTCGGCCGAGTCATGTGCTAGATCCTCAGGAAATGGCCCAAGCTCCATCTGGAACCTATCAGGATCCATCAGGCGCCTGGGGCGGATCCATCTAATTGGGTCCGCCTCCCTGCGGCGAGGGGTCGCGGTTCGAAGATCTAGGCGAAGGAGTGAGTGGTCAGTCCATGACAAGGGTTCCATGTCTATATCCCCTATAACAAGACCACTCAACCACTGGCCAGAGACAAAAATCAGATCCAGAGTGTGACCTCCCCTGTGAGTAGGGCCATGAACTAACTGGGTCAGGTCCATGGCCGTCATGGAAGCCATGAACTCCCGAGCCACCTCAGATGTTTCACCGACAGATGGCAAGTTGAAATCACCCATGACTAAAAGCCTGGGTGTATCTACTGCCACCGTGGCTATCACGTCGAGTAGCTCAGGAAGGGCTGTTGCCACGTGGCAGGGAGCCAGGTACGTAAGCAACAAGCCCATCTGAACCCCACGGCCCCACCTCACAAGGAGGGACTCACATCCGGCTATCTGAGGCACAGTGGTCTCCCTCGGATCCAGATCCTCGTTAATAATAACCGCCACCCCCCCGCCCCTCCCCTGGGCCCTCGGCTGATGGAATGCTCTGAAGCCTGGTGGGCACATTTCAACCAGAGGGACGCCACCCTCCTTTGAAGAGCTCCATCTGTTGTACTAATTGTGTTCTTTCCTAAATCAGGGGACACTTCAGACAATCACTCAAGTATTGTATTACTTCTTGGTTGAGGTTGTACTTGTTTGTATTTCACTGGTCAGAAAAGAAAAAAAGAACAGATAGGAAGACATGGGAAGGCCCAATACAGCTCATACAAAGAAAAATGAAATTACACTAATAGTATGTCTTAAAAGAAAGAATCTGATAGTAGTTGAATTGAAGGTAGGAATGTTGAACTTGGTTAAAAATAGCATTTGTTTTTTAACCTTTTATCCAAAAGGCCACAACGACATTGAGAACATCTACAAAACACAAAGAAGGGCCATAAGGTACCTCCATACAATGTTTGATGTGTATGGGGCAAGAAACACACAATTCAACACAGTGTGGCTACCACCGCCATCTCAGCTGCAGACCTCACAGCCCACTGTTTATTTAATAAATCAAGAAATTTCAATTTGTCAAAGATGTCACTGTCTTACATTGATGCAAAAGGAATATGCAGAGAATATGAAGAAAAAAATGTCTATGTATTCCAGGGGTGAGCAACTGTGGCCCTTTTACAACCTGTAGACTTCAACTCCCAGAATTCCTGAGATAGCCAAGCTGGCTCAGGAATTCTGGGAGTTGAAGTCCACAGATTGTAAAAGGGCCACAGTTGCCCACCCCTGATCTATTCTATAACTTTCTGTTCATATTTACCCAATGATACATTCCATAAGCTTTCACTTTCCTGTCTCTTAATCACCTCTCATTCAAAAACGGATATTTGTAGAACAGGTGGAAAGCAGAAGCAATTTTAAAAAATTAAAATATACAAAGATCCAACATAAAAGAAAATCACAAAAATATCCAGTGTTCAAGGGTACTAATTGCTTTCTTGGTGTTAGAAGTCAGGCAACACTAAAGTTAAGTGTCATGAATCTAGAGTGGCACTATACTCCATAACTATTGTTGATCTTCCCCAGCAGTCTTTGGAGACAGGAGATCACATTGAAGGACACCAAAAACCATTTTGTTTTGTTTTGATGTTTTCTCCGGCAATGCTTGCTAGACATGTCCTGACATGAAGAACATGTCCTGACAGGAAGAACCATAGCCACAAGAGGACAATGTCCCCAGGGATGGTTTGGGATTTTTTACTAACATGATTTTCTCCAGCTACCATTCTGCAAATGGAAACTCAAAGAAATTCACAATCCCCAGAGGAAAAGTTGTTTCTCACTATAATTATGAGCATCCCAGTTTTTCATATATCTTCAGCTGCTTCTCCAGCAATTATCTATATGTAAACATCAGATTGAGGCAACATGGAAAGGATCTTGCATCAGAAAATAATAAAATGCAGGTTTTGGGACAGGCAGGAACTATGCTCTTGAATGTACCTTTCTTTCCTTGGTAAAGCTTAGTTTATGTCTATACGACTCTTGAAAGCCACCGTCTTGTGAGAGTGCTTTGAATTCTCTTAATTCTTCCTTTTGTTCTTATTTAAAAATGTGAAGTGGATTGATTCATCATATCAATTATGAACCTCCTGCTTCTACTTATGATGCTGCTGGTGTTCCTTCCAGTCTCTGGGAAGCTGAGAATGAAGTGCCCACTGAATTTGGAGAACCAGAATAGACAACATCCATGGAGCTATTACCACCCAGGAGATCATCTCATTAGTATTGTCACCTCGGCAACAACAATATCACATATAACATTGCCTTTCAACATGGCTCCTTCTAGTCAATCTCCCTTGTAAGTCATTCAGCGTGATCTAAGTTTCTTCCCTCTTTTTTGCAATTCTAACACTCTCGTTTTCTTCGGATTTCACTTATTCCTAAATTGTAGGACCTGTCTCATTTCACGAATCATTTTGATTTCCATGGCTTCTCTATTTTGTCTTAATTTGTGGAGGAGATTGAAATACAAAGATAGGGAAGGGGGAAAAAATCCTGAAAGAAGTCCAGATTATTTTTCTCTCCCCTTTCAGCCCAGAATTCATCACTTCAACACTGATATTATTTACAGTGGATATTGAAAAGGTTGTAGTTACTTCTGCCAAGACTATTTCCATATTTTTAGAAAAGTTCATTGATATTCGAGGCCTGATCCTTATAGGAATAGAGGATGACTTGCTTTTTGAATGGCTTTTCTCGGTCATCTGTGAAACATCCTCTTCTTCTTATGATGGTTCCACTTTAATAATTAATTATTTTGCTACCTGGTTACTGGGTTGATGAAAATTAGTACTGCTACATGTTATCATGTGTTTGTGATTCTTAATGCTGATGGAGGTATATCTCTATCCCATCTTCTCAACACTCAGAAATATTAAATGGTGATGGGTGACTAGTATATACCTGGTTTTGGATCAGTATTCATTTAATACAGAGTAAGTTTGTAAAGGCAAAGAGAATTAAATTAGAAAAGGTATTTTATTGTTCATGTTGATAATAATGGCAATAACATAAACATTTTTACACTAGTTTACTTTTTGATCAGTCAAGAATACTGCGCTTCATTTTTGCCATTCAAGTGATAAACAAAAATCCCCAGCTCCCGCACAACCTCACACTTGGCTACAACATCTATGACAATTATTTGAACATACTTGGCACTTCAGATGCCTTGCTGGACATGCTCTCCACTGGAGAAGGCAATGTTCCAAACTACAGCTGTGGAAGGATGGTCAACCTTTTGGCTCTTCTTGATGCAGCTGCCAGGGACATCTCCATTCAAATGTCAATGTTAGGAGGCCCCTACAAAGTCCTGCAGGTTTGTTTCTGTGTTTCTCTATTTGCTAAAATTAATGGGATAGTAGTACATGAGCAATAGCTCATGTACTACTCTATACTCTACTCAACTCTATATTCTCCATTGAATTCAAGAGCTGCTTTTCACTAAGGCTATTTTAAGTGTCATGACTAGGGATTGTGTTGTGGCCCGTCAGTGGCCTATACAGCTAGTAGCTGATTCTGACAGCAAAGAGGCTGGTGCGGTGCTGCACCAGCAGCCTGTGCAGCTGGCACTCGAGTTGGACAATGAGGAGGCTGGAGAAGATGTGGTGTCAGAGGCAGGGATTCAGCCAGGGTCTTCAGAACCTCCAGAAGCTCCCTTAAATGAAGAGGACGAAGAGGAGGAGCCTCTTCTCGATGCACGGGCACGCAGAACTGCCAAAAGGCAGGAGTGGCTCCTCAGGAGGAGGTCTCCTCAAGAGTAAGGCTTGGGGCTAATTGGCCACTCCCTTAGCCTTTTTAAGGAAGGACGACGACTGAGGCAATTTGCAGGGAACAACTTCGTTCACTCTCCTTCATGTCTCGATCTTAGTTCTCTGCAAATTGCTTCTGGGCTTTTTGCCAACCATAGTAAGATTACGATTATTTATTCTTTGGATTCTTGTAGGCTGTTAAGAAAGTTAATTAACAGCCTTTGTTTGAAAAAGACTGATTTAATTTAGTAAACTAAGGTTTGTAAAGACTTTGTGTGTGCTGCATTCTTTGGGGTCCGTAGCTGGGGCAGAACAGATTGGGATTCACATTGGTGAGGTGGCAAGGATCAGGCAGGCATATCCTCTCATGTCACCATCTCCATTAATTTGGGCATTTCTACACCAGACGTCTGAAGGTGAGGAGAGGCTCTATGTCCAATCAAAGGCTTCTGTACAAGAGGAAGGTGCAGCAATGATGGGAAACTCATATTTTGTACACAGACCCAAACTAATAATATTTTCAAAGATGACCAAATCTCAGATTTGTGAAATAGTATCCTTAGCTATAATTGTCTTATGGATTCATTAGCACCACTAGCATTAATAAATCACTTTATTACAAAAAATAGCATATTAGCCAACAAGCCAACTATTTTTTAACATATTCATGATCAAATTTATCATGAAAGCCTTGAAGCACAATCAAGTCCCCCTTTCTATCAGCTAAACTATTCAAACAACATCCAAACTAGATGGCTCCTCTATTGATAGGTATCTTCACGGTTATAAATAATGCCTGCCATAAGTAGTTGTGTGAAAAATGTCAGTAGTAGCTAGTGTATTTAAAAAGAAAAAAGAAATAAAAAGGATTCTAGCAATTAAAGGTCCATTAATCTAATAGATATTGTCATATAATGTATGCTAGGTTCCTCTTAAATAGAGTTGAGAGTGGGTAGATGAAAAGTGTATTCCTTGCTGAAGAATAAGCAGGCTTAAAATAGGGTTGGTCCATAATTTAGAATTGTTTTTCCTTAAATCATCTAAGTAGAAAATATGTCACTTGCAAACCTTGGTGAAGCATTTGACACAGTAAACAGAGAAATATTATGGAGGAAATGGATTTGCCCTTAAAATGGAACCCAGACAATTGACCCTGATTGAAGCCTTTTCTACAATCAAGCCAGTGGTGGGTTGCTACCGGTTCACCCCGGTTCAGGCAAACCGGTAGCGGCTGTGGTGAAAGGCTCCGCTCACTCACCCAGAGATCATCAGAAATGCTCTGCGCATGCACAGAATCTTCTGCACATGCGCAGAACCACTGCGCTCATACTAGCGAAGCAAGCAAGCGCACCTGCGTGCTCCTGATAGCAAACCGGTAGCGCCGGGATTTGAAACCCACTACTGAATCAAGCTCTTGTTTGAAAATAGGGTTTGGAGCCACAACATGGTCCTTATCAAAGGTAAGATAAGGATGCATACTTGCAACATTTGTTATTTAGTCTAGACATTAGCAACCATTAATTACCAGGTCTAATAAAAGATTTTGTACTAGTACACATGCCTAAAATGATACATATATATTATATTTGCACCAATACAATTATCATGCTTGCAAAATCTGTAGGCTGTTAAGAGGGCTTGGCTCCTACTGACATATTTCTCTGATTATTAATAAATCAAACGAAAAAGTAATGATCTTTGGAAAATGCTATCATAGCCATAGATGACTATTCAATGGTGACCTTTAGAGTAACTTACAACCTTTTATTACCTAGAAATTGGGATCATGGCTCCCTTTTCATCAAAGAGGCTCACTTACAGCAAAGCGTAGTGATTGTATGCTATGTAGCTAACCAGCTTCCTTGCCAAATTTATTCTAGTACATAATGCCAAAGTTACTCTCCATGCATTTACATGAAGCTGAAGTTTGGTACTTAAAATCTATCACTATAAGAACAAACACAATCAGATCATCAGAGAAGTACCTTGCGGGTGGATAAAAAACACTTTGGCTGCTGCTCTCAGAGCTGAATTGGGAATTTATAAAATTGGTCTTTGTCTAGAATTAGCAAAAATTAGCTAAAATAATTGGTGTGAAATTAAAATGAGCCAAACTAAGAGTTTTCCAAAATTGGGTCTGTTAGAAAAGACAAAAATTCAGTTAAAGACTTTGTGGATTCGACAACTGACAAATTATTTTAGGAGCCATGGTCTACCTGTTTCTTCTAGAACTATGGAATAAGCTTAGAAGATCCTAGTATAAGAGCAGTGGCGCAGTGGTTAAAATGTTGTACTGCAGGCTACTTCTGCTGGCTGCCGGCTGCTAGCAGTTTGGCAGTTCGATTCTCACCTGCTCAAGGTGCACTCAGCCTTCCATCCTTCCAAGGTCAGTAAAATGAGGACCCAAATCATTGGGGGAAATATGATGACTCTGTAACATGCCCAACGAAAGAAGAGTCTGAGGCCTGAAGTTCCTCAAAGTTCCATTTTATTAAAGTTGTCATATTGGCACATCTGGGAAAACCAAATCTGAAAACTTCCAGGTTTTTCCATCCAAAGGAAAATCCAAGTCCCTGCGCCCATCACCCACATGTCCATCACATGGTCCAATTAAGCACCATCACAACTGGAGATGCCTCCCAGTTCCAACCCTCCAGATACAGGGCAAGATGTCCTTGATTCTCTGAGAAAGGAATGTTATTATGCCTATATATCACCCTGGTTCCATACAATCCCCCTCCCAGTTTCCCACAGTAGTAAATGTGGCAGGCCTGAAGATCCAATGCGAAAGATAGCTTCCAGGCCTGATAGAGGGCTGTAAAGCACTATGAGGCAGTATATAAGTCTAAGTGCTATTGCTAGAAAGATTGTTGCATAAAAAATCTGGGATATCCTGGAGAGAAACATATAACCATCCTCAGTAGAACTGGCACATTGAAATGAATAATCTGGTACAAATACACCTTCCAAATTGCCCACATACTTAAATGCAGAAATGCCTATAAGTATTATAAGTGGCATTTTCTTAAGCAGGATTTGAACAGAAGGACACAATGATTAAATATGGAAGAATTAATGAAGTCCCTTATAATGAACAAATATATGTATAAAGCTCCAGAGGCAGAAGATGTAACATATATATTATTTGAATGTCAATTGTATACAGGGGTGGGATTCTACCGGTTCAGACCGGTTTAGGTGAACCGGTAGCTCCAACGATCAGCTGGGAGCGAACCAGTTCGCTCAGACAATCAGCTGGGCCCGCCCTTGTGCTTTACTTATCTTTATCTTCCCAACTGATTAACATGGCAGAACGGATTGCCACGCCTCAGCTTTGATTCCCTAGCACTAATGCAGAAGGTGATTTTTCACCACCAAACTGGTTGTTAAACCGGAATGATCCCACCACTGATTGTATATAGAAAAAAGGATATCAGTATTCTTGGATCTGTAGTGCACATTAGACAAACAACCTAATGGGACCCTTATATTAAAATAAATTATTTTCTGTGCAGTAAAAATTGAAAAAAAAATATGTACTGTATAATGCAGTCCTTCATTTCAGTTCACTTGAAATCATACCATTGGGCTATTGTGGTAAATTGTAGGTGTGATACAGAAACTTAATTTTTCTTCTTTCTTCTTATTATTTTTACTTAATGGCTTTTTATTTCATTTTTATATATGATCTTGTTAATATTCTGTTTTATATTGTATCTCCATATGGCCTAATGACTAATGAACAATAAGCTAATGTAATACAGCATTCTTCACTGCTTTTTCAGATTAGTTTTGTAACTGATTCAGGGGTTCTGAGTGATAAAAGTCAATTTCCTTTTTTCCATCGGATGCTCCCCAAAGAAGGATTCCACTACCCAGGAATTATCCAAGTGCTCCTGCATTTCAGATGGACCTTGATTGGTCTCTTTGCTTCAGACACAGAGAATGGAGAGAATTTCATGAGGACTTTCACTCCTTTGCTTGTCAGGAATGGAATTTGTGTTGTTATATCCCAACGATTCCCAATGAGAGCGCATATAACATCGCTTATTGATGTCGTCTCCGCATGGAGACAAGTCAATGTCTTTGTTCACTTCATAGAATATGTTTCCATTTGGGACAGAATTCTTCCTTTCCATTTAGCACTGATGCATTTGCCAGAAGTCATTGAAGGGAAAGTCTGGATTATGACAGTCTTGGGAGTATATCTATTGAAAAACCACCTGTTTCTCAAATACATCCATAGTATCTGGACCTTTGCTTTTCAGGAGAAAAAAAGACCAAAAGATGATGTGTTTGAATACAATCTCTTTGTGGAACCCCATTTTGAAGACAAGACTTTTCACTGTTTTTTTTCAAAACATGTCTTTTCTGCCAAAGGCCGGAAAAGATGCACCCAGAAAGCACCACTGGAGATCCAAGAGAAAAAGGACAGAATCCGGATCAAAAATGATCCCCATGTTTACAGTCTCATTAAGACTCTGGCCCATGCCTTGAATGTTGCATATTCCTCCAGATCCAGGAGGAGAAGGAAGGAGAGCAAAGAGAGGTTGGTGAGTCCAAGGCTTGAGCCATGGCAGGTATGGGGTCCCAACAAGGAACCTTCAAGCTGAGTTCCTTTACAGAAGGAATCCAAAGGAGGAGGAAAACCTTTTCAACCTTCTTGTGCTACAAAAGTTCAATAGGTTTGACCAATCTAATCATTTGAGGCCATAGTGTTCCAAAGAGCAGGCAACTTGACATTTTGATGTTACATACTGCTAATTTTAAAAAGATTCTGCAATGTAGTAATGTAGAGTAACATAAAAGATTCATACAATGTAGTAACATGTAGTAACTGTAGTAACATGCACATATTTTAAGATATGTGCATCCTCTATGTTACTACATTGCAGAAACTTAGCTTCATAAATTTGAAGGAGACTGTTAGATCATCTAGACTTCTTTGCAGGAATCCCAAATGGTTGCCTGGCCTTTGTATTAAGACAATCAATGAAGGAGAAACTGAGAAAGAAACTCAGAAAGGATCCTCGCTAACTTTTCAAACCGTCAGAAGGGTTGATGTGGGATTAGATCTTTCAGACTTTTAGATTATGATAATGTAGACTGACAATAAAGTAGAATCAGCTCAAGAAACGGTGTACTCTGTCTGGTCTCCATGGGAGAAGATTGGACAACTTTCTTCTTGACTTTGAAATCCAAGCTTTCTGGTAATCAAACTGTTGCTTATAATGATGTTATGAATAATTTCTTTCTTTTTTGATTCAGGTTTTTGTTAATTGCTCTAGACCAGTGATGGCTAACCTTTTTGTCATATAATAATAATGCTAATAATGCAATGTGTGCATAACCTCCTGTGCGCTCCCCCTGTGCATGAGCGTGTGCACCCTCCAGGTGCACCCCACCCCACATATGTGTGTGTGACCCCTGTACTTCCCTTGCTCCCATGCATGCATGTGTGATCTCATACATGCCCCCCGCCCCACATGTGCGAGCCTCTCCTGCTCATGCATGCATCACCCTCGCCCCCCGCCCATGCACTCATGTCTCCCACATGTATCCTGCCCCAGGGCATGCACAGCAAAGACTGAAAACCAGCTGGCCAGGGGGAGGTACGCATGCCTGCATGGTGGAGCTGAGCTGGGGCAACAACTCACATGCCCACAGAAAGGGCTCTGTGTGCCACCTGTGGCACGCGTGCCATAGGTTCGCCATCACGGCTGTAGACTATTCCCTATAACTAATTTATTTATTGGTTCAATTTATATGCCGCCTGTTATGTCGGAGCATTTCCCTAGCAACTGAAATGCCTGTTCCTGATTGGTTAGTTAGCAGCCGGCTGGAGCATGGGAGTTCCATGCTCCCTAATTGGTTAATTAATGTGGCATAATTAATTGGTTAATTAATGTGGCATAATTAATCCTGACAGCCACATATAAAAGAGCTGTCAGGCTGTAGTTGCTTGTTCGCTACGTTTGGTTGTTAAGACGTGTTGTTTAATAAAGAGTTATAATCACGGTCTCGCATGTCGCCTCAGTCCTTAACTTCCCCCACTACACAACACTGCCCTTCTCCGGAGACTCAGGGCAGCTTACAATGCGTTAAGCAATATCCGTCATACTTTTGTATATACCTACTTAGTAGGGCTTTCGGCCCCCCCAAGCGGTGTTCTTTTTTTTATACAAAGTCAGCTTATTGCCCCCACAATCCGGGTCCTCATTTTACCTACCTCGAAAGGATGGAAGGCTGAGTCAACCTTGAGCCTGGTAAGATTTGAACTTGCAGTAATTGCAGGCAGCTGGCAGCTAAGTGCTACTTAACAGCACTTTAGTCTGCTGCACCACCAAGGCTCCTATGTCTTATTGACAAATTTTACTGAACCTTTTTTTTTTCATTTTTAAAGATAGTGGTAACACCCATCTAAGGCGGTAACTTCCATCTAAGGATATCTGCAAGTTAAAGCACACTAGAAGAAACATTCAAATATGAAAAGACCACGTGGGATAAAAAAACAAACAAACAAGGTTCTGCTTTAAAATTGCACTATGTTTCCATTCTAGTTCCACCCATTTCTGAAGAATGATGAGTTTTGCAATCTTTCCCAACGGAAACTCTACTTGGACCAAAACGGAGATGTAGCAGCAGATCTAAGTATTATCAGCTGGGTGGTTCTCCCTTTGGAGGATCCCGTCAAACAGCAACTGGGCACTTTGGAAAGACAGAGATTTGTCATCAACCAAGATGCCGTTTCACGACTAAAGTTGCTCAACAAGGTGGGTTAAATATGGGCTTCCTCCCTTTGTTTCTTAAAGTCTTAGGAGCTGAGAAAGATGGGCAGTTAAGAAATATGAAATATAAATAAATCAATAACATTTCATATGGATTAAAAGTAGTCACCAATGTGGATGACCTTCACTGAATGTAGCGACTAGATCCCTGTCAGTTGTCTTAGATGGCTTGGGACACTGAGCTTGTTGATCAGGAAGGTCGGCAGTTTGGCAGTTCGAATCCCTAGTACAGGTCTTCTGCGTGAGCTGGGAGTTGGACTAGATGACCTCCAAGGTCCTTTCCAACTCTGTTACTGTTAAAGAAAGTTTCAAAAAAATATTCAGTAGAAAAGTTCTTTATTGCAATGTTATACACCAGGAGCAAAGGGCAATAACTAAATGAAGAATCTACTAGTAGTTGCATATCCTGCAAGTGTTTGAATTAGAATTAGTGATTATACTTATTTATGTAAGCGAAGCCCATAGATTATTTGGCTAATGTTCAGGTGTACATCCATTTTCCATAGATTAGTCCTAACACATTTTTTTTGTTTGTTTGTTTTCTGGTTAGTCTCTTCCTCAGTCCAGATGTACGGACAACTGTCCTCCTGGATTTTTCAAACGGGTTCAGGAAGGAAAGCCAGTTTGCTGCTTTGACTGTGTTCCTTGTCCAGAGGGGACCATCTCACTGCAAGAAGGTGGGTGATACCAGAACAAAAGGTATTGGATTCATCCAAAGCATTTTGATCAATGTGCATGTTAAAAGAGCGCATGTTAGGAGGACATGGTGGATTGGGAAAGGTTACTTCTACCACAAAAATCTCTCTTGTCACTTTGCAAGCGTCTTTATATGTTTCCTTAGGAATATCTGAAGTCTTGAAGTTTTCTTAGGAATATTTGAAATCAAACTCAATTGCAGAAAATACAACTTCAGCAATAGAGTGGTCAATATCTGGAATGCTGTACCTGACTCCATCATTACTTCCTCAAACCCCCATAGCTTTAACCTTAAACTGTCTACTGTGGGCCTCACACCATTCCTAAGAGATCTGTAAGGGGGTGTGCATAAGCGCACCAGCGTGCCTGCTTTCCCTGTCTTACTGTCCCCATTTATTTGTACTTATTTCCTGTGTTCATATCCATGTTTATACTTATATCTGTTCTCGTAAATGTTTGACAAACTAAATAAATAAAATAAATAAATGTCTTCAAGCTAATGGCTTTTGATCACCCAAATCAACCTTAACTTATAGTCCAAAAGATTAATATGTCAATTAATCAATCTTAATCTTTATTAAGATAATAATGTCAGGGTTCCAAGTAATACATCCATAGCAAGGGTGGGTTCTACTTACCTTTACTACTGGTTTACAGCGGGGCTTGCTTTGTTCGCACGCACACTCTTCTACATGTGCGCAGAAGCATTTTGATGATGTCAGGGTCGGTGGGTGGAGCCTCCCGCCAGTTTTACTACCGGTTCTATAGAACCGGTGCGAACCGGGGGCAACCCACCACTGATCCATAGCAAGCAAAACTCCGAGACAGGTAGATTCCTCAAAGAATAGTTTTATTGGATAGATCACATTGGCACAGTTCTGGTGAAAACCAACTCTGGAGGTTCCTGTGGTTTTCACCTAATAAAAGTTTTCCCCCTTTCCCAAACAATCAGTTACATGGTCCAATCAAGGTGCCGTCCAGTTGCCTGGTAACTTCCCTCTCTCTGGCCACCTGTAAGAAGGTCCTTGGTTTCCAGGAGACAGTATTTTGTTTTGGCTACAACACCCCAACTATCTCAATTCCACCCCTACCTATCCCTCAGCTTCAGTGAGGCAACACTGAAGCTTCAAAATGGCTTCGGTCAGGTCAGGTTCAGGGTTGACAGATAGAGCCACATAAGCCGAATGATCTTAGTTGGAGGACAGTGGAGAGAGAGAGTGGTTGGGTTCCAAGAAAAAAAAAAAAACAAGCGAACAAATGACACATCATTAATTCTATTGAGAAGATGTCAGTGCAAAAGTAAAGATATAAGCTAAATTTACCATGATTGTGGATAAAACCTACCTATTTCCTCTCCAGTGCTCTAACAGTCCTTGTTATGGATTAATAGATAAAACACAAATATTTCTGATAGCTTAGTTCATCAGTCCCACATTCAGCATAATCAGCATCATGTATTCCATCAGGCATTTAGGTTTTAGGGGATAGTCAGACAAGTGTTCATATATATTTACCATTTACTATGACTCTCCTGCTTCTCAGTATCAAATATCATCCAAAGAAGACTTTTTTAAAAAAAAATGTGAGAGGAGAGATTGTAAAAGAAATATTACTTTCTGGTGTTTTTTTTTCAGATACTGAAAAATGCACAAAGTGCCCAGATGATCAATATCCAACTCAGAATCAAGTCCAATGTATCCCCAAAAGAATAACCTTCCTTTCTTATAAAGAGCATCTGGGCATCATCCTGGTCTCCTTTGCTCTACTATTGTTCCTAACCACAGGCTTTGTTTTAATCGTATTTCTTAAATATCGAGAAACTCCCATTGTCAAAGCCAACAATCGGGACCTCTCCTACATCCTCCTGGTCTCCCTCCTGCTCTGCTTCTTGTCTTCCTTTCTTTTCATTGGACAATCCAGGAGAGCCACCTGCCTTCTCCGACAAACGGTGTTTAGCATTGTCTTTTCAGTAGCCGTGTCTTCTGTGTTAGCCAAGACAATCACAGTCGTGCTGGCCTTTCTAGCCTCAAAACCAGGGAATAGGATGAGAAGATGGTTGGGGAAGAGCTTGGCTAACTCCATCATTCTTTCATGTTCTGGTGTTCAAATGTTCATCTGTGCACTGTGGCTAGCAGTTGCTCCCCCTTTCCCTGACTCTGACCTGCACTCCCAGCCTGGAGAGATCATCCTTCAATGCAATGAAGGCTCTGTCACCATGTTTTATGCCATCCTCGGCTACATGGGTTTCCTTGCTGTCATTTGCTTCACAGTAGCTTTTCTAGCCAGGAACCTACCTGGGGCATTCAACGAAGCCAAGCTGATAACCTTCAGCATGCTGGTCTTCTGCAGCGTCTGGGTCTCCTTTGTGCCGACCTACCTGAGCACCAAAGGGAAATACATGGTGGCTGTGCAAGTTTTCTCCATTTTGGCCTCCGGGGCTGGACTGCTGTGCTGCATCTTCTTTCCCAAGTGCTACATTATCATCCTGAGACCAGATCTAAACACTAAGGAATGTTTAATGATAAAAGTAGAGAACTGATAGTGAAACTGTTTCTTAGACTGATAACATTTTATTATTTATTGCAGTTATTGGATTTGTGTGCTTCCTTTCTGTTAGACAATAAGGTTATTTAAAATCAATAATAATGACAATTTTTTTGTTTATTTATTAGATTTTTATGCTCTTTATTAGTTTATAAGTAATGCAGGGTGGTGAACATATTTTTATATCTTTCCTCTTTCTCATTTTGGGCTGAAAGACTTGGCAGCTCAAACTCATCCAGCCAGTTTTCATGCCTAAGGCAGCTTTAGAACTCACAGTCTGCTAGTTTCTAGGCCAGCAACTTAGCCACTAGACTATCTGTTTGATAATTAAGATAAAGGAAATGAAAATATGAAGAGTGTAAAACCAGTCCAATTAAAATCCACAATAAAGGTCAAACAGTAAAACAAATGAATTCATAATTAAAATTGTCATGCAACCAGGGAAGATGGGAGAAAGAATTCAAGGTGGGATGAAAACATTAATCTAAGTCTGTTTGAACATAGTCTCTTTGTCCCTATGCATTCTTCTCCAAAGTAGGGGGTGGAAGTAGAGCTGGGTTTCATCCTGTATTTATTTATTTATTTGTTTATTTATTTATTTATTTATTTATTTAACCATGTATTCAATACACATTTAGTACATCATTCATTTCTTCCATGTGACATCTTGGTGTGATGTCAGCACTTCAACCTGCATTTACTCTAGTGCTAACATAAGAAGGAAAAGAGGGGCCAGCTGGCAAGAGGACTCTTGACACTTCACCTACTTATTTTCCTTGAAGATAATATCCCCTAGGAGATGAGAGGGAGGGGGGGCATTCCTGGGAGCTTAGGTAGTAGATATGGGGAGAGTGATTTGGAAGAAAGCCAATGAGATGCAGAGATTTGGGGAACTGAAAGGGAGGGTTTGGGGTCAGGAAGCCAGAGCTGGCTACACCATGATCGGGGCCAGATTGTCATGCTTAATAAAATGAAAGATTTCTTCAAAGACTATCTGTTTGGAAATGCAATTTATTTTATTTGAAGATGATATCGAAACCTGACAGTTTCCAAAAACTTCTTTTCTATTGTCTCTTCTATCTTCATTCTCACCAAGTCCATTACAAAAATTTCCCACTCATCTAGTTATAACATATTTTATCTATCTCTATTAAAGCTTATTGATATCTTTTTTCTAACCAATAGGGGGATGGAGCTCATTAAATGGCTGGTATGAGCATGTATTACCACTGGGATGGTAGGGGGATATTATTTAATTAATTTTTATTTTTATTATTTTTATTTCTTTTATATTGTTTTTATTTCTTTGAGTCTCCTGTGAGCAAGTAGGCAACAATATAAATTTTCCAACTAAATAAACCTTTGAAAGAACTGATGTGATCTCAGAACCACTGAAATATCTTTCAAAGATCCTGGAGTACTGGGGAACTATCAAATGACTGGAAAGAGGTTGATGTAGTTCTCATCTTCAAAAAAGGGGGGGAAATGGATCCAGAAAACTATAGACCTATCAGCCTGATATCAATACCTGGGAAGATTCTGGAAAAGATAAGCAATGAATCTGCAACCACCTAAAGGAAAACAAAGTCATAACTTGAAGTGGATTTGTCAAAAATAGATCATGCCAAACAAATCTTATTGCATTATTTGACAAAGTGACAAAAATAGTGGACCAGAGAAATGCTGTTGATATAATTTACTTGGACTTCAGTAAGGCATTTGATAAAGTAGACCACAATCTACTACTTGATAAGAAAGAAATATGTGGGTTCGACAGCATCACCACCAGATGGATTCATAACTGGCTGACCAACCATACTCAAAAGATCCTTAACAGACGTGCATTTACATGAAAGGAAGTATGCAGTGGGTACCCCAAGGCTCTGTCTTAAGACCAGCACAACATATTCATCAATTATTTAGATGAGGGCATGGGGGAGGGTGGAATTCATCAAATATGCTGATGACATCAAGCTGGTAGAAACAACCAACACTCCAGAAGATTGGTTCAAGATGCAGAAGGGTCTCGACAAACTTGAAAACTGGGCCCTATCTAATAAAATGAAATTCAATGGTGAGAAAAGTAATGTTCTACATATAGGCAAGAAAAAACAAATTCAACTTATTCTCTAAAGCAGCTGAAGGCAGGACAAGAAGTAATGGATGGAAACTAATCAAGGAGAGAAGCTATCTAGAAATAAGAAGAAACTAGGGCTCCTTTGTGCTCTCAGAACTTGCTTGATTTTTGCAGATGATTCATTAAGGAGAAACTTCTTGACAGTGAGAACAATTAACCAGTGGAATGGTGTGCCTCCCAAAGTTGTGGGTGCTTCATGGAGGGTTTTCACTGGAGGTTTTTAAGAATAGATTGGACAGCCATTTGTCTGAAATGGTATAAGCTGTGATGGTGAACCTATGTCCCATGTGCCACAGGTGGCACGCACCTGTTCTCTGTGGGCAAGCAAGCCATTGCTCCAGTTCAGCTCCACCACGCATGCATGCCTGCCTCCCATCAGCCAGCTGATTTTTGGGTCTCTGCTGCGCATGCATGGAGGGTGGGGCATAATAAGGGGACATGTGCTCATGTGTGGGGGAATGGGGGGTCGTGTGTGCATGCACAGGGACACATGAGCATGCCCAGGGGCAGGAGGGGAGTGGGGGATGGGGTGGGGATGGGGTGGGGGTGGGGTTCCCCCCCACGGCCCATTTTTGGTCCCAGGAGGCTGCAGGGAGGCCTACTAGGCCCAAAACAGGGTGCGGGGGGGTTGCACATACATACACAAGATTTGGGGGAGTGTGGGGGGGTCACATATACATGTGCGGAGGGGCAGGACACACAGGGGGATGTCATGTGTGCATTGCATTATGGGTGCGGGCACATGGGCGCATTTTCGGCCCGCGACAACAAAAGGGTTCGCCAGCATTGGTATAGGGTCTCCTGCTTAGGAGGATGTTAGACTGGAGGACCTCTGGCATCCCTTCCAAATCTATCATTCAGTTCCAGTTCTGTTGTTCTTTCTCTGATTACATCTATCCATCCCATCAAAAAAAGTCTGGAATGGTATAGGACAGTGATGGCTAATCTTTTCCGGATCGAGTGCTCAAAGCGCGTGCATGTGTGAATGCGCATGCACGCACCCGAACCCCCAAAATGTAATGCTCACAGCCCTCGTGCATGCACTCTGCCCCACGCATGCACATGCAGCCCCCCGCACGAGGCCCATCCCTCGCACATACGTACGCAGACCCCTGTACACATCCTGCCCCTGCACATGTGCAGCAGAGATCCTATGACCAGCTGGCTGGCGAGAGGCACGCACACATGCACAGCAGACCTGAACTGGGGAGTTGGCTCGCATGCCCACAGAGTGGGTGCTGCATGCCACCTGTGGCACGCGTGTCGTAGGTTCACCATCATGGGTATAGGATCTCTTGCTATGGGTAAGGACCAGAAGACCTCCAAAGTCCATTCAAACCCCATTATTCTACGTTCTACCGAATGATATGGTTCACAGGCTGTCACTTTCCTGCTGTTCTGTCCCCGTACCACACACACACACCCAGAGACGGCCCGGAGTTAATAAGCCACACGACAAAACTCTTTGAAGATAAAGCTGGCAGCAACCCAGTGGCTAGCTGCCAATTCAGACTTTACTCACACAAAACAAAGATTAGACTGCAAGCATTCCGATAAAACAGGCAGAGTTTTCAACAATACAAGGATTAATCCAAAGGCAGTCCGATAAAGCAGGCAAAGTCCAGTAACGCAGAGATCATGGAGTATTTCCAGTTTTTGCTCATCACAAACTGAACCAGCCACCACACCCACATTTATACCCTGTGGGGTGTGGTCCAGTGACTCAGCTAATCTCTGGCACGCCTCCTCCACTGCTGTGCACACTTCTCCCTGCGCCTCTGTCGAGGGTCCAGCCAGCGCTTATCTTCCTCGTTGCTGTCCACCTGTGGCTGCGGGGACGTGCTTGGCTCTGAGCCTATCTTTTGGCCTTCGGTGTCCTCCAGAGGCATTGCCAGAGAGGAGGGTCCTGGAGAGGGAGGCCTTGCCAACTCCTCTCCCTCACTCTCAGAGTCTGCATCTGTCGATAGCCCAGGCTCAGGCAACGGAGCCACAACACCTGCCTCTTACTTGGTTCTTATTCAATATTGGATAAAAACTAATGGGAAACAAAATTTCATTTCAGGCACAAAGAATTTTAAAATCAGTTCCAATTTATGATTGAAAAATGGAGATCTTATAGAAAAGAAAATCATAAAAAGACCTTGAAAGATACTGTACCGTTTGCCTCCTTTGCATCAGAAGACAGGCAGGATTAGAGTTGTGTCATCAACACAGAATGTAACCAAACTCCATAGTGTGACCATCTGAGTGACCGTCCTCAGCAATCTTTGAGGATGGGACAACCACAATGAAGGACACCAGAAGTCAATCGTTGGGACCACCCCAACGATGCCCTTGAAGTGATGTCCCGGTGCCTGGAGGCCGTGCAGATCTGGATGGGGAGAAACAGGCTCAGGTTCAATCCATCCAAGACCGAGTGGCTGTGGTTTCCAACGTCCCGATATAGTCAGTTGGCGCCATCACTGACTATTGGGGGCGAATCGCTGGCCCCCATGGAGAGGGCTCACAACTTGGGCATCCTCCTGGATTCACGGCTGTCTTTAAAAGAGCATTTGACGGCCGTGACTGGGAGGATTTTTCATCAGGTCCGCTTGATTCGCCAGTTGCGTCACTTTCTAGATCGGGACTCCTTATGCACAGTCACTCATGCCCTCGTCACCTCCAGCCTCAACTATTGCAACACTTTCTACATGGGGCTCCCCTTGAGCAGCCCTCGGAGGCTCCAAATGGTACAGAGTGCGGCCATGCGGGTGGTTATGGGAGTGATGTGGCATTCCCATGTAACACCTCTCCTGCGCGAGCTGCACTGGCTCTCGGTGGTCTTCCGGGTGCGCTTCAAGGTTTTGGTTATCACCTTT